CATAAGCACTGCGCATACAAGGAGCTGCGCAAAAACCAAAGACTCAAGGCACAAACTTTATTTGAAATTCAATATGGACCAAAACTCTTCAAGTTTTTTTTTTTCAACCTGATAATTTTTAATATTGATTGGCGAAACTGGGAATAAGTATACTGAAAAGCTCCTAAAGTCGGAAAGAATAACGAAAAGTAGTATACGACCAACACCGAAAAAATTCCGAATAGTCCTGGAAAAATGCTTAAAGCTCTCGAAAAATAAAACTTGCAGAATCTGCAAAGCCTGGTAAAATTCCAAAATGTTAAATCTGAAGAATACCGAAAAGTCTCGAAAAGCTCCAAATAATCCCGGAAAAGAAAGCACCAAAACTCTAAATAGCTACGAAAAATCTAGAAAACTTCGAAAAAAATCGTGAAGTTCTAAAAAAATTACAAAGTTCAAAAAAAAAATAAAACTCAGAGAAGTCCTGTAAAAACCCAAAAAGTAAAACTGGAAGAATACTAAAAAGTCTCGGAAAAGCAAAAAATCATGAAAAATCGCGTGAATAATCCGGCAAATCGAAACCAAGAATCCAGGAAAGCGCAGAAGAAGTTGAGAGAATTTCCAAAAATGTCTCGAAAAAATTCCCAAAGTTCAGAAAAGTCCGAAAAAATCCCGAAGCTCGCGAAAAGTAAAACGAATCCGAAAAATGCAGAAGAGTCGCAAAACGTAAAGCACGACGACTCTCGGTAATCTGAAAAGTAAACTTGATCCCGGAACATTAAATACAAATAACCCAGAAAATCTTCGAAAAAATACAGAAACTCCGAGAAAATCATAAAGCGTAAAACAAAAACATCGAAAAATTTCCGCAGTCGCGAAAATTAAAACATGTAGACTACCGAAAACTCTGAACGGCCCTGAAAAAATCCTTAGAAAATTTCAAATGCCTCAAAAAAACACGAAGCTTTTAATTTAATTTTATTAGAAATGCTTAAAACAAGCTAATATTAACATAAAAAAAACAAAAAGTGAAGCAGTATTTCTGTCGCGAAATGATTAGTTAATTTTTTTTTTATAGCGTGAGGAAATCATAATCTGCAATGAGAAAGGCGATCTCAATAAGACATATCTTTTGGATTTCAAAATAATTAAAAACAAAACTTTTATTTACATACATGCATATACTTTCATTAATGTAGTGATAGCGATGACATGAACATATTCATATCCTTATCTAAATTCCATATACGTATTTCGCATAGAAATTATTTCTTGGATGTTTATCTATCGACATTTATGAGTTTCCCAAAATAAATTTTTCAGGTAATTTCACTTGCCTGGCTATAGTTTTCAATCTGCGTCGACGTCTTGGCTATCATCTCTTTCACACGTAAGTGCCCCTATTACGGTAAATGAAGCACATTTTTATTTTTTTTTTAAATTCATTCCTCATTCCACTCCTCACTCACAGCTACATTCCATCTGCACTTATTGTGGTCATGTCATGGATTTCATTTTGGATTAAACCCGAAGCGATACCGGCACGCGTCACACTCGGCGTCACATCGCTACTAACACTCGCTACACAAAATACACAATCACAACAATCGCTGCCGCCCGTATCCTATGTGAAAGCCATCGATGTGTGGATGTCATCATGTTCGGTATTTGTATTCCTATCGTTGATGGAATTTGCTGTGGTCAATAACTATATGGGACCCGTGGCAACGAAAGCCATGAAGGGTTATTCGGATGAGAATATACACGATTTGGGTGATTTGAAGGTGAGAAAGGTGATGCGTGACCGCTTTGATTTTTAAATGTTGTAATAAATAAATACGAATAATATCACTAATATTTTTATGTAGAATCATCACCGTGAATCCATAATTGAGCCACAGTATGACACATTCTGCCATGGACATGCCACAGCGATTTATATTGATAAATTTTCGCGTTTCTTTTTTCCATTCTCCTTTTTTATACTGAATATTGTGTACTGGACAACATTCCTTTAGTGGTTAGTGTCGCTTAAATAAACGAGCAAATTGTTATTGTTTGAAAATTCTTGAAATTGGTATGTACATATTTACTTTAAAGTCTTTTATAGCAGAGCTATTTAAAAAATTCAACGACTCATTTCATTACATCTGGAATGGGTCTATTTGTTAATTTTATTATGGCGTAATAATGTTTATTTCAATAGTGTTATTGTGACTTGTCCCACGACTTGTTTGTTAGGAAATAGCGGCGAATCAGTTGCCCTTGATAATAGTAGGTTGAATAAGGGTGTATATAGCTCAATGGGTTTGTCCTGTTACAGGATTGACGTTAAGTAAGGCCTTTACTTAAGTACTAATGCTGGGTATTTTCCGGAATCTGCGTAGTTTATCCGCTATGCGTAAAAAATTGTATAGTCAAAGGAGTAACTTTCCCAGCACTCATGGCATTCACAATTTTCATTACCCAACCTGTAACTAGTTATTTTCGATTTTAGTACAATTTTTAAGTTATTCTTCGATTCAAATCAATTGGGCTGTTCACAGTTCGTTTCACAATGGGTTCCCAAATGTTGAGGTCAAGATTTTGAGACGTTTTCTAACCGTAAGATTTTGCGGTTTTCCTTCATATGAAAATAAACTGTGTTTATTCTTTAAATGGAAGCAAATGCGACAAAAAAATCTAAAAAATAAACGTTGAATTTTAGGCGCTTGAAACTTGCAAATTATTACACTACAATTGAGTGTGCTATAAAACTGTATAATAAAAAAATTCTAACACTTCTAAAAAAAATGTTTGAAATTTGGATGAAAATTTGTTGATTTTTTTTTAGTTTTCTACAAAGTTTTAAACAGGGTTTTGTTGGAAAATGAGATGTGTTTTAATTGAAAATTCTTAAAAATAAATAAACATAAGTGGCAAACAATAGAATAATTTTTATTTTTTTAAATTTAATATTTTTATTCCATCTTCTTTAATAAATTTTAGAACCTAAACCCTTTTGCTTAAAAAAATATAATTTAAAGTGTATTTAAATTTGTTGCCGAACCACTTCTAGCAAAGTTACGATCACTTAATCTTGAAATAGTTCGGAAAATTCCAAAGTAGTAGTATCTCGAAGTAGTGTTCCCGCGAATTCCGAAGTAGTCCCGAAATAGTTCAGAGAATCCCGAATGTCTCGATAATCCTGAAACAATCCCGAAAATCCCCAGGGGCCAGAAGTAGTCCTGAAAATCCTGTTTGATCCCAAAACATATAACCAGAGGTATCCCGTAAAGTCCCGAAGAGTCCCCTAATTACTTAAAAAATTCCAAGTATATAATACGAAGAATCACGAAAGTAAAAAAATCTTGCGCACCTAGTATGTACATTAGGGGGCCCAAATAAAGTAAAGTCGGAATTTTAATGCTCTCACTCCCTAGGAATGTTCTATACCGAAAAAATACTCCCCTATTTTCTTATTATTTTGAAATAAGAAACTATTTTGTGGCCGTTCAAAGCAATCAAAGTTTTCCATGTGTTTTATGTGGGGCGAAAAAATTTCCGTAGAAATTGTACAGATGTCTTGAAATTCTATAATTTTCGACGGGAAAGCTTTGCTTCTCTTCAGGAAACTTGCAATAACAATGCCCAATGTTTATTTAATCATATTTTAAATATATAAAATAAAAATATTTAAATATTTTTTTATTTCGAAATATTTTTTTTTTTTGATACAGAAAAATGCTAGGGGGTGAGAGCAGTCAAATTTGTGTATCACATACATAAAAACGGACCACCCTAAGTACATACATATCAAGGCCTGAAGAATAAAAGGCAAACACTGCCCATTATTTCCGCCTCAAAAAAAAAAAGGTCAGGCAAACATTGCATAACCGGTACGGTAAAGTTGGTTGAGCCTTTTTCCGATGTTGTGCTTACCTTTCTTTCCCTTCCTTCAACAATGAGAAAATTTCAATTATTAAATATTAAACAATACATGTATGCTATTTATTTATAAATTTAACTTTCTTGTTGTATGTATGTATATATGTATGTATGTATTAGTATTTAATCGGTTGATCACATTGAAAAAGTCTATTTATTAAGTTATTTATGTATGTATTTATGTTATGTATTTTTTTTACATTTAGGTTAGCATGCGGAAAAGCATTTTCAAATATCTTTTGGTACACAAGGTTTTTTGTATGTATATTTTATTGTGTACAGAGGTTAACCACCAAATAGAGCACAACAATTTCTTTCATGTATTTCTTTACACGCGTTTTTACACCTGCTGTTATACATTTCGGTTGATTTGTAAAATATGCAATTTATTTCGAAATATCTACACAATTAAATATTGGCTCTATTTAGCTGCCCATCTCTGTATACATTTACTTATAGGCGTTTTTTGTTTATGTATGTATGCATATTTATTGAAATATAGAAAAAAGTAATTTTCAAAACTCACCTCTCTATTAAATACAGGGTAATTGCAGCTTGTCTATAAAATATGTTTTTTAAATAGTAAAAAAAAAAAACTTTTAATAATTATTATAAGAATAATTAGACTAATCGATCTATAACTCATTTATTATGTATATACTACTATACAGGACATACAAATGCATCGCAATATCATCTAGTACTACAGAGAAATTGCGTTTTTCGTAAAGAGATAATAAGAATTGAAGCCAAAGCTAATTTATACTATGTAGTATGCAAGTATGTATGTAAATACAAAATGCGCGCGCGCACACACACTTACGCACACAGATGGGAGAGCGTCGATATTTATGTATATTTAATTAATTATTATTTTTTTTTTTACTAACGATTAATATTTTTTTATTTGCTGTTGGCAGCGTAATTAAAGTATAAAATATTTCATTTGATTTCTTTAAAAAAAAAATATTACAAAAGCGAAGCAGAAAATAATAATCACACACAAAGTTTCTTAAACATAATTGCTTAAATAATGCTAATATATTGTATATGTAATTTTGTATATTTTTGTTTTTGTTTTTTCGCTTCATTACCGCTGCTAAACTTTGAGTATAACGCTATATATTTTTTTATTTATACTTATTTCATTTGGTCGTCCATTTTTTGTAGTTTAATTAATTTTTTTTCTATGTTAAGCTTAGCTTAGCTAAAATATTTATACGTAAAAAATAATACACGCAAGAAACGGAAATATGTATGAGGAAATGCTCCCAATGAGCAGCTAAATTCATTTACTGTAAGCAAGCTTGAATTTTCTCAATCCATTCTTGTGCTAAATTCGCATTAACCGCATAAAAGTTGTAGGTGCGCCGATTGGTCTTCAGCTATGTGAAAAATGAGAGTATAGATATGAAATATATATTTATGAGTATATCATATCTTTGTACATCCATACATATGTATGTATTTATCTACATATCGGTTTTAAGATCATAAATCATAAATAAAAATCCAATATAACGATGATTTTTTATCGAAAAATAAAAAAATCCAAATTTAACGACTGTTCTTGAATGGAAAAAATAACGATTTTGCAATGATCTAAAAATAAAAAACTTGATATTTAACTGTTATTTTCGTCACTGGTTTTAGTATGAGCTACTACTTAAAAACGCAACAAAATGTTTTCTTGAAAAAATTTCAGTTAGGGCCTTTCTACATTTCATCAACGATATGTATACATATTCTGTACACCAAGGTGCCTTCAACTTCATATCGAAAAGTAGGGCCCCTTTTTCCATGTAAATTATAATATTTGCTTCTTTTCATGACACCTAACAAAATATTTTCGCTCAACACAGGTTAATTCGTGAGCTGAATTGTATCGAAACTATCTCGAAAAAAAGAGAGAATTTGTACTGCAAAATTTATTGTCATAAACAGGGACGGATTTTATGTAAGTTTTAGTCTTTTCTGCTAAAAAATAGAGTAGTTTAAAAATTACCACGATTTAGGTTTCCTTGGTTGCCTTTTTTGCCATTGCTTAAGTGATTATGGCAAACTTAAAAAATTTAACAAAATTTTATATTAAAAATAAAGCCCACAGCTCTGCGAAAATAAGTGGTTTGGATAAGATTCAGAAGAAGCTGTTTAGATGAGCGCAGGTCTCTACTTCCAGACGGGTGTTGGAAAAATTCAAAGCCGCATTTTCAGCTAACAGAACTTTGGAGACAATAAGGGCCGTTGATAAAATTTTGATGTACGATGTATATGCACATCGCTAGCTAGGAGTGAAAAGTTGCCAAGTCTACTTTTTGTAAAAACTAACATTGTGATACAGAAAACAAGGAAAATTAAAAATCGTTTTCAAAAACACCGAACTACTTATTTTATTTCTACCTATTTTTAGGCAGTGAAATGAAGATTTTAAAAGAAAGCGCAAAGAAGCCGAAAAATTCAAAGGAACGCAGAATTTTTATTAATGTCGAATTCTACCAAATAGTACAGTTATGTTTTAGTTTGAATACACCAACAAAAAAAAAATTAAAATTAGTTTTCTGTTTTTCTTTTCTCCTGTAAATTTTTAAAAATTGGACTTAACAAATTTTCACTTTATGCTAGCCATATACTGTTTTAATAAGAATTTCTAAAAAAAATGCATTGTATAACGAAAAAAATCTGAAAATACTTTATATGGAACAAATGGGTAAGGCAGTCAGCAAAAAAAATTCTCAAAAATCAACGCGAATTTTTAGACATTTGAAATTTGCACATTATTATACTAAAATTTAATGGGCTATAAAACTGCATACCCGAATTCTATCATGAAATTCATATTAAAAATATTTGCGATTTTGCTAAAACTTTGCAGATTTTTCTTATTTTTCGTACACTGTTTCATGCTTGAATTTAAATGGGGTTTACTAAAATATAAGCAGCATTTTAATACAAAATTAACAAAAAATTCTAGCATGTAAAACATTGCGAATATTAACACAAAAAACCGTACGCTCAATTTTGCGAGCAACAATATAGAAATCGATATAAATCATTATACTTTATTTTTTGGGGAAACAACAACTATAAGAGTTATCAAGGGCCAAACTGATACATTAAAAAAAAATAAAAATATAAAAAAGACCTGTTGCGTCCAACACCGTATCTATCACGATCAGAGTGACATAATCCAAAAACTCAAAAGCTCGAGAAAAAAGGCCTTAACATAAGTACATATGTATATGCATAGGAGTATTTGTGTGATTACTTACATCAAAGAAGCCCTTCTCGTCTATGCGCTTCGTACCAATTTGTGCTGGTTGCGCTGGCGTAACTGATTGCACTTCGGCCAATTCTGTGTCAGGATTAAAAATATGTAAAAAAGGCAATTAAATATTTTAGAAAGTTTTATAAAAGAGCGTAGTTTTTTTTTGTATTACGCAATTTTAAAATAAGTTTTGTTTTAATATTGTTATTGAGCTTTGTACCAGGAAAAGGTTTATTAGGAAAAATGTTAAAAGCAACAATGTCTAAGCGGTGGAAGTTATAGCTGCTATTTCGGAGATCACCACATCTTCTCATCAGACTTCTTTTCCTAGACTTCAGCAGGGATCGAACCCGCATCATCGAAGTGCTAACCACTCTGTACACTCTGCACACCCCGTAAACTATGGTTGCTAATTCATTTCCTTATTCAACCTACTACTATCAAATGCAGCTTACGTTTATTTTTCAGTTTTCTGATAATAAGATTTTAGTAAATATTTCCATTCGACAACTCACCTATAACCCCTTTGCATTGTGAATCCTCGCCAGAATCATAATAACGCAGTTGATGTTTTATGGAGTCCAGCACAAACCAACGCTGCTTCCAGCCTTTCAGCAGGGCGCCGCGTTTATAAAGATGCCTTGAAAAAGAGAAAAGAAAGTCGTAGAATGAATTAAGAATAATCAGAAGATTAAAGAATATATAGGGCGGTCTGCTAGACTAGCAATCCGCCCCTTTTAAGAAACCAAAACCTAAGGGAATAAAAAAAAAAAATCCGGATCAAGCCTTCCAAAAATATATAGTCTCTAACAAATCGTATTCATTCTTATAATAAATCTACATAGGTTTCTTCGACGAGCCAAATGTATGCATGGATTTGCGAGCATTTAAATTAAAAATAAAACCACTACGTTTTAGGTCATCACACTCACCCCTCATGTGTTCGATTCTCCGCCACATTGCTGCTAAATTGATTGTAGAAATGATGACTTGAAGTACGCGCCGTTGTAGCGGCACTCGATGCTATACTTGAGGTGTCACCCTGCGATATGTTGACATTTGGCGGCACTACACCATCCACGGCCTTATATTTGGTGCAGTTCTTCAATGACACCTCGGTGCATTTTTCGTGATAAGAATTGCCACAGTCCATGCAGCGATAACCGACTGGACCCCATAGCAGCTTGGTGCAGTGATTGCAATTGGTGGGTGTTGTATAGGGATGCTTCTCGAAACGATGTGGATGAAAGAATTTATCCTGATAGCCACTTAAGCGACCCTTCATGAGTATCTCCAAAGTGGAACGTTTGTGCGCTAATTTTCCGTGCGATTGCAATAGAATACTACTCAACGATGACTTGCGCGTCAGCTCTTCCATTTGGGGTACCTCCAATTGATCCCACACTTGCAACCATTTTTGTGGCAGATGGCCACGTTCGGTTTCCGCTTGTCGCACATCACTCAATAGACAAACAAATGCATTGGGGTTACTCTTTTCGATATTATCATAGCCAGCGCTAATTACAATTCGTTTGCCACGCAACTCTGAGAGATCAATTTCATCATCGGCATTTGTCAACTCCAGATCGTACGGTGGACCCTGCGCCAACTCTTCGTTGGTATAGTAGGGCCAGAGATCTAGGGCAGGCAAAGAGCTCTGCGGACGTAGTACATCGTCGCGTACACAGTACATGAAATTGTAGAAAATCTGTGACTTCGCATGCTGACGTTCGATGTAGTCGAAGATGGAGTGACCGATGCGATTGAAATTCACCGCAGATTGTGCCGCCTTGCTGCGTACGTCCATGGGGTAGACGCACTCGTCATCGGAACCGGTGTTAGCTGCGATTAGAGAAATGTGTTAATTAAGTTAATGGTACTGCACACCAGATAGTTCAACACGCACAAGCTTAAACTTATTATTACCTAGCATGTGATGTTTGGTGCTCAATGAACCCCGTTTATCCTCTACTGAAGCGATACCCAAATCGAAACGTTCCACTTCACAGTCAAAGAGAAAAGTGCGAAAACGACACGAAACCATGTGGTAGGCCAAGAAGCGTACATAAAACTCATTGAATTCAAATGCCATTGGAAATTGTTTTTGTATTTGGTAAACAGCATCTAAAAATTGCAAGAAAGTTGGCGCAAATGCTATACTCGAATTGCCATGCGTTGGCTTCAAATTGCTACGATGTGCAAAACGATGTCCAAATGCAATCCAATCCTTCTCGATGAGTACACGGAAGCCCTCCATTGTGCGATAGTATGGATCGAGACATAGTTGTGCAATCGAAGATATTTGCGCGGTAATATCCCAGCCATCCTCCAGCGAGAGCATCACACTTGACTCTTGCAAATCCATTAAATCGACCACAGCGCCAGAAAGCTGCAGAAGCGAAGAGATTTGTTGCAGCCACTCGGATTGTTCAACGCTTTTGGCGAACGTTTGATCCGCTTCGTTGGTTGTATTCGAGGGTAGGCATGCGCGCATAAGCTTCTTGAAAGCGATGCGTGATTGCCGATAGTCAGCATAGTCGACGGCTATGAATTCGGCGCAGAGATCTGCATTGATGCCAGATTTTGTTTGAGATTTTTCACCTGACACATGCGAAAAGAAAAAAGAGGTGAGTACGAGAATGAAGAAGTGAATATAGGAGTGTTACAAAATATGCTAATTACCTAAAACATACAGCCGCAACTTTCGATACGCTGACGCAGCTGCTGAGACTGATGAGTTATTTTTTATTGTATTCGATTTTGGTTTCAACGAATCGGTCCAGTTATTTGATTTCGCATCACTGCTCGCTGAATGTGCGGACTTATGTTTGCGACTAACTTCCGGCGTCAATGAAGTGTCTGCGCGGTTAAGGTAGGACGACTCATCACCAGCGTTCAATAGCAGCGAATTCATTGACAAATTCATGCCGGTCAAATTGTATTGCGCCAATGCTAGAGAGAGATTTTTCGGCATTGAGTCAATGAGCGCTGAAATGTATTTATCCTGTTCGTGATAGTTGGCGACGTCGTGTGACATCGTGTTCGAACCCGTGGAGTTTTTAAGCATGCCTGTTATGAATTTAAAATTTTCAAATAACATCACCAATTCGCTTGCAATGAAAATCTTATTAAACTCACCGATAACCGACTTGCTGTGTGGCAGCGCGCCTCTTATCAGCAAAGCACCATTGCGGTGACGCCACGTCGCCACCGGTATGCGTTGACTCTTGTAGCAGCGCACCAAATGTAATAGTGCGGCGTCATTTATTTGCACCGGTGCTACCAAGAGTGCAGGATACGAACGACAGAGACTGTAATTGGCATTCACAGTGGTTATGCGGAAGCCATTTTGTGCATCATCAAAACCCAAACGCTTCCAATCGCGCACATAACTGCGTTCCCGCATGCGTTCTACATCCTTGGCGGTCAGCAGGCGTGGCATGGTGTCCGTATTTGTTTCGAACTCATCATCTTCGAGTTCATCGTCAAGTGAATGTGTATCGATGGCTTCCGTCGATGGTGCGAGCGTATCAAAATCGAGTGTCGAAGCAACCAATTTGCGTTTAGTTGGTGCTTTTTGTTTGAATTTGCGTAAAATTGTTTTCTTAGCGAAACCCTTTAGTGTTGAGTATTTTTCTTTGGTTTTAGATGGTGCAGTGCCATGCATTATGGTACCGTACGATTGGAAGGCGAAGTGTTCGAATTCGTCGATCGGATGCCGCGCCTTCGTGAGTATTTTGCGGAAAGTCTCAATCATTTCTGGTGTCACCTCCGTGTCGAATGCGATTTTCATTAGCTGAAAGGTGCTGGAGCGTAACTGTAAACCCTCTGGCAGAGTTTGATCTAAATGCGATAGGTAAAGTACTGAGATCTTTTTCTCCTTCAGCAGCGAGGAGATGGGAAAGGCGCGTATGATGGTCTGTTCGCAAGCGAGCGGATCACAGGGTGAACCTAAAAGTATTTGGGGTTAATCCAAATTTCATTATTTTATAAATTGCGACTCCCATTTGACCTACCCTTGAACACGATGCGATAGTTTGTTAAGAACAGTGCACCTTCGGCTGGTATCCAACTTTGTGTGTCATCTTCGCGCCCATCGGGCATGAGATAGCAGCGCAAGTGATCTGTTACAATCTCCTCGCCTGGCAGCAGGCATGGCGTTTGTATCTTCGGCTTCTGCACATGTGGATGGCGTTTGGACTCCAGATACACCGACTCCAGCATTTCAATGTGCATGTGCACCACACCAGGCACCATGTCATGCAGATTGCGTATGTGCTCGGAGGTTACACCGCCCTCAGTGCAGACGCGATCGATGAAGCGCGACACAATTTTACCGACAGCACCGCCCACTTCCAGTGCATCGTTCTCCTCGAAGCCTTCGTCTGAATGTTCGCTTAAACTATGCGAGCCCATAATACTGCAATAAATGGTAGGAGAAAAGGGGGTAGCGACTTGAATTCCAACTTAAAACAAAGCAGTGCTAAGGTAAGGCTATGCGAATTAGTAGATTTTTATAATTTTGCAGTGTAAAAACGTCGGTTGTTGTTTTTGTTGTAGCTCGAAGCTTATGCTGAGGAAACCCGTGTAAAATGTTAGTTCTGAATAAATATTTAAATGTGTTTTAGTAAAAACTATTTGTGGTAATACAAAATCTAGTTGGCGCAAAGCATTTGAACGCGTTTGTAGAAAATAAAATGTGCAGTATGGTACGAAAAAAGGTTCATAAAAATTATACAATGTAACAAGTGATATGCATTTTTTTATTTAAATTTTCCAATACCGCATTTTCACCAAACAATTAAATTACAAAAAAAAAAACAAAAATTAAAAAAATGTGTGCCATTTACAAAACGAAATATGGAAACAAACGTATGTATACCCCGAATGTCCACTGCGAATTAAATTACAAAACATTTAATGACAAAATTGGGCATCATAAATACCAGTGTCATTACAATAAAAAAAAGCTTGTCAATATTTATTGTGTAAATTTTTTTTTCATGCTTTCCAAAGAGTAAACTGAGTCGTTTTAAAGCTTTCTGTTTTGTTATGTTAAATGTGTATGGAATTTATAATTTTTATCGCGTTGTGTTTCTATTTTTATCACAAAATTTTATAAACAAATATACATATGTATGTATATACTTACAAAAATTTATCTCGAATTAGAAAAAAAATAAATAACAAAATAGACAGAAAATAATAAATTTTTTGAAAAAATCAATTTTTACGAAACTCCTTTTTTAAAATGAGAAATTAGTTCGCGAAAAAAATCTTTAGATAAAAATTAGTTTTTGAAAGAGTTTAGTACAAAACGTATTCCGTAGTGAAAGCCAATTTGGGTAGGTGAAATTGATTGCAAACTTTTATTACAAAATGCACTAAAATATGAAAAAACAGCTTAAAAAAAAATTTTAGAGAAACATACACAAGAAAAAAATTCGTCAGATAAGTTTTTTGAAAATTTTTTAGGCATTGAGTAGTTTTCGGAATAAATTTTTCTGAGTCATTATCCCGTCTATATAAAAAAAAATAATTTATAATGCAATGAGCACTTTTTAAAATAAACTATT